ACTTCAGCTCCCAGAATGCCCCAGCCAGCATGGCAACAAATGATGTGAGCTAGTGGATTCTGGGAATTCAGTCTCCACAGGTAATGCTTCTAGTTTCTGGGGTGACCCACTGAAATTCCATTAGGACATCCCAACTACTGTACTTTCTTCCCATGCCAGACCTAAATCCCTACCACTATCTTCTAGCCCAAGAGATGTTATGCCTTCAGATATGTAGCACAAAAACACAAACATGTACAAAAGTATCAGAGTACCTTTAAGACTGAGGTATTTATTTTAGTGTCATCTTTTGTGAGCTACAATCTACTTTCTCAGACACAGATGGAGTGCTACTTTATGGCAAATACGGTAATAAAAATAAAAATGGTGATTGGTGACTGACATCGCCTATACTAAAGACTGCAAATGGCCACAGAAACACAATGACTTACCTCATTTAAATTAATTGGAGTAATAATCCATTTGTATGGGCCATCATTCCTAGTAAAACCTTTGTCTCATGCTACATGCCACATTAACCATATCCACACACTTATGTATAAAAAGCACTGTAGGCAAAAGGGCATGTCTCACATATTTCATAAAAGCATCATATATTTGAAAAATGTACAGGGAAAAAAAGTAGCCAGCCAAGAAGTACTAATATGTAAAGTATTAATCGCATAAGAGCTCACACTACATTGAAAAAGATTCAAATAGCTTTATCAATGATGTATATCAGAATCACTTTAGTACTTTAGACATGATAAGGTACAAAAAATGACAGTAATCTTTCAGTATCTATCATATTATGCAAGAAGAAGAATCACTAGCTCAGCTGTAACTTCACCCAAGATGTTGCACAGGTCAATATCCTGTTTAAATACTGTATGCACAGAACTCTGAGCGCAGAAGCTGCCGTGGTGATCTGACAAGGTGCGAGTTGTGTGCCTGGCTGCATGCAACTGGCACCTCATCAGGCTGCCACAGCAGTTTCCACAGCTGGAGCTCCATACGTAAGTACATAAAGGCGGAATATTGTAGGTTACTGGCTGCTGTTGTCACTTAGTACAACCAGGGGCTTTTTAGGAGCTATCTAGGTATTTAGATATGTATTGATAAAACTATAGTTTTTCAGACTCAATAGCTGTTGGGTCAACAGCGTTATCTATTGACCCAACAGAACAATTGCCTTTGCCTTCAAAATGCACTGATACCTTTAGCAACATGACCAGCCCATTCAGCTTGTAGAGGGAAGAAGTATGTCATTGAAGGCTATGTGTTACATTTCCTATTCAGGCACTAATTGATTAAACCAAGGTATAGAGAGAACTCTGGAGGTCACTCTCTTAGGCAGTGCAGAGAGAAGACAACTATGGGATTAGCTTGTAGCGTTGGGGGGAAGCTCTCCCCAAAATGTGGAGGTGGTGCATACCTTCTACCATAGTCATGAACCACCTAAGAAAACATATAATTACAATTATTTATCATGACTCATTAAAACCAGATAGTAAAAAAAATGCTGTTTTAGCAAATCTCACCATTAAAGGATGACAGTAGAAAACATACCGTTATCAATCTTGTAGCACAATCCTACCCTGTATATTCAAAGACGAGTTCTAATATGTGCCAAAAGTAAATCTCTTGCAACTTACAAGTGTGGAGGGTCCAGAAATGCCAACTATGCAAAGGCTGAGCCCCTAACTGTATGCTCAGTGATGTGGAGATGTGTATTCAATGATGTGAAAACACACTCGTATTCTGACAGAAGTAAACAGAAGTGATTAAGCTGTTGACGGCCAAATACTGAATACTCTGCTCCAAGCAAGAAATCTGACAATGTGGATTTAATTTTTTTTTCCTCCCCTTTCTTTTATGGATTACTACTGAACCATCACTTTACTGGCACTCTCAATGACCATTCTCAAATTGGACATGCTGCACTACATACCAAATGTGTTCACATTGTAAAATGCTGTTTTCTTCCTCTTTTTGAAAGATTTCTTGTATATAACTAAATCTGAGACAATACAGGTCCTATATATTTTTTCTGATGGGGTTGACATGCAGGCTGAGAATCTGTGACAGTGTCCCCATCTGCAAATTCACACAATTTCCTCCTGCATCCACATCAGTCAGGAAAGCCTATTCATTTAAGTTTTTGTAAGAACATCAATGGAAACAAAAAGTACAGACTGCTGTTGTCAAATGGGAAGAACTAATTGCCTGAAGAATCACATTGGTTACTTTGGATGCAACACAATATTACTGCAGAGAGCTTTTGCATTCAAAGCCAAAATAGGCATGATGATACGCAGTTCCAGCAAGAGAGGAACATTAGTACTAATTGTCTTTTGCTTATTTCATCTTGCTGAAACATACATCCTGGAGCAAAACAACAACAACAACAAAAAAACCACTCATCAAAATTTCACCAACACCACAAACAAGAGACTGGTTACCAGATATTTTTAGAGCATAAACATTTGAATAAAAATTTGTATTTCTTTACCATATTTCACAAATTGGGTCTTTTTGGTTTATTTAACAGATTGACAATTGGCACCAATCAGCATGGCAAATCCCAGTTCAGAGAGACATCAAGAACATGTACAGATTCCTGCAATGCTACTGTAAAAACAAACAAAACAAAACAAAAAAACCCAGCAAGCCTGTGTGTGTTGTTGTTGTTATGTCACATCTGACTTGGTAATAACTGACATGCCCTCTATTTGAGGACTACATATGGAATGGAACCTATCAGGGCTATCAGCGTGAAATATTTAAGGCCTGTCTTTTACCAGTGCCACCCCTTCCCCTGAGTCTCCATGGCCAAGCAAGGATTTGAAACTAGATCTCCTGAGTCCTAATCCATCATTTTATCCACTACATCACACTGGGCACTGGGAGCAATAATATACTGTACGTAAATTTATTACCAGTTTGCACCTGCACCAGTATGTGTTGAGTCTTGAAACCGCGAACTGCACCTTTAGCTGTACTTATTTACATGGGAGCGAGCCCTGTTCAACTCAATGGGATTTACTGTACTTCTGAGTCTCTGCACACAGAAGTGCACTATTAAACTACCGACAGCAATATCGTTAATCCCGGTTGAAAGAATATGTCCTATACACCGGCTCATGTTTTTAATCACGTTTCGTGTTTCTTAACAGAGGAAGCAGTTTGAAGCGCCAAACTCTTAACTCCACCGTCCTCTTTCAAGTGTTCTCCAGACTATTAAGACTACGACTCCCATAATGCCACGGTATCTTTGCTGTGGGACTATGGGAGTGGTAGTCTAACGTATTTCGAGCATGGAACAACCAGGATTAAAAATCTGGTGCGCCTCTTTCCTAATAGCTAATATTTAACGAACTGAACTGGGGCTCAGGTGAATTGCCAACTCTTGAACCAACCAACGTAGCTCCCCATTTCAAAGCATCAGGACATGCTTTATATACCATTTTTTTCTTTAAGATGTTTACCTATTAAAACCTTTGTTCAAAGTCAGCAGCAGCCCGCGTCCCTGTCTTAAATTAACCTAGGAAACCGGAAGCTCAAACCCAACCATTTATTTACTTCGACCCTGATGTGTAAATAACAGTAGTGGTAATAGGGCGGGATCTCTGCGGTGTTAACTCACGGGATGTCGGGATGGCATTCTGCACATGCTCAAGAGAACTACCTTAAGTGTCATATTTCCGGTTTGAGCTTTTTTTTCCCCCTCACGCCAACCCCAAGTCGGCGACTAGCCTAACACGGGCCAGCAGCGACTACGAACGCTTGGCTTGAGAGCTCGGTCCTACACGTGCACGTGTGAGCGGGACTCTGGCGGCCTCGTGCGTGCCCCGAACTCCCTCTCCACCCGTTCCCACGACCACCTCGCCTGCCGAGCCTCTTTCCTCCCGCCCTCGGAGTCTTGCTGGGACAGCAAGACTCCGGACCCGCGTTTCCTCCCTTACCCGCGAACGTCAGACCCCGTTGCCCAGTAAACTCCCTCCACCTCGGCTTCCTTCGGCCTCCGTGAACGGCGAGGCTCAGCCCCTCGGGAGGAGGAGCTCTGTCGTTGTCCAACCGGACTCTGAGAGGGAAATGAGGCCAGGCGGGGAAGCGGTGTCTCGGTGGATCCGGGGGAAGGACGGGGCTGCGGTCTTCCCCCGTCTACGTGTCAGCCGTTGAATTCTGAGGTGACACAACGAGGTTTGCGGGGAGCCAGCCGGTGATGTTCCAGGGAAGCACGAGAACATTCCTATCTTGGACTACAACTCCCAGTACCCCCTTACGGTCGGTCAGGGATTTGGGGTTGTAGTCCCAAACAAGAATTTGGTGTTTGTCCATCAAGGAGAAGGTCCACAAGGCAGTGATGAAGCAGCGCCTGTTATGTAAGGACAAAGGTCCCTAAGCTAGTTTCTCTGATAAGAGTTTCCTGAGTTCATGAAAAGTCAGTACTGTGCAAGGTAAGAGTAGGCAATCCTGAGCTAGGTGAACCAACGATCCAATGCAGATACATAAGGCAGCCTCATACTTTTCAAGAGGAAATGTAGTGAGCAGTTGCTCAGATGTGCTCTTGTTTGGGTTTATTTTCATGTTCCAGAAATGAAAACAGTGAGTTTGTTCTATGAGTGTTTTGTGTGTCAATGCATTTAATTAGGAAATGTATTGGTGTGTCAAGGTATGCATGTGTTTAAGGCAAGGCATTGGAGGAGCAAGTGATACCTTTTTTAGACCACTAAAAACAGTCTTCTGAGCAGTTGCTCAGATGTGCTCTTGTTTGGGTTTATTTTCATGTTCCAGAAATGAAAACAGTGAGTTTGTTTTATGAGTGTTTTGTGTGTCAATGTATTAGGAAATGTATTGGTGCGTCAAGATAGGCATGTGTTGAAGGCAAGGCATTGGAGGAGCAAGTGATCCCTTTATTAGACCACTAAAAACAGGCTGCATTGGAGGTGTGATTTTCAAACAACATTCCAGGTAGCTGTTGATTGGATATCACACCCAACTAAAAAAAATACCGAGTT